GTGAAAAGGCGGTATATAAATAAAATTACTTACTTACTAACATACAATAACTTACCCTATCTTATTATATAAATACCTCTTTTGATTTATAATAAGGCCAAAATGAATGGATACATATTTATATCCCATCCCCCTGGATGAGCTGGAGGAAGTGTGTGTGGATAGGGAAGTCTGGGCATCTCTGCTTAGACTGCTGCCCCCGCGACCCGGCAACGGATGAAGCGGAAGAAAATGGATGGATGGACATATGTATAATGAATATTGTTTTATACATATGTTTTGATCATGATTATTTACATATTGATAAATCTCAATGTTTGATCAGATTTTAGTTTGGCCTAGAAAGAAAGGAAAAAAAAACAGTACGACAAATAGTGTTTGCTTTAGTTATTATCTTCAAGTGATTCAAAAACAAAACAATTCAGGACTTTTTGCATAATACTAAATCTAAAATGTTTTATAACGTTTCCCTCCACTATGTATGAAGTATAAGTACAATTTAACTTGCCGCAGAGGTTGGTACATGTGCTTCACAGCAACAAGGTTCTGGGTTCGACTCCACCTCCAGACAAGGCCTTTCCACGTGAAATGTTGTATATTCTCCCCGTTTGTGTAGGTTTCCTCCATGTGCTACGGTTTATCCTACCACTAAAAACATGTACAATAGGTCTGACATTGTAAAGTGCTTTATGTGAAGGCCCTACATAAAACAAAGAAAACCTACCACTTACTTCCCCGTGTCTGTGTGTGTGTGTGTGTTCTTGTGATTTAGAATTCAAACACACACAAAAAAAAGCCACAAAAAGATATTTGAACAGAAACATACATTTATTGTTGAGTTACAGCAGATTATCCTCCGGTCGACAGCGCGTCCGAAGACTACTTGATTTGGTTAAGTTCAGGTCAGAAGAGAACGCTGCACACGTTCGGACTAACATAAAAGACACAGCTCCTCCATGTCTAGACAAAAACTCTAAAATATATTCATGCCTTTATCAGGAAGTAACAGCGGAACTCCAGCTTTAACATCACAGTCTCCTTTTCCAGCGGATATTTAACATTCAAAATGAGAATAGGATTTGGTTGTTCAGTAAAATAGTGGACTCATTTATGGACCTGCCAAAGCATTTTAAAAAATAGTGTCGTTTTTTCTCCCACTGGTTTTACCGCCAACATTTTAAAAACACATCATTTCTCACATATTCATAACAAGGCATTAGCATACGGCCTTGTTGCTAGTGACAGGTGCATTCTGGGCTCTGTCTACAGCATGGGCACGACAGCACCACAGCCAATAACACAATTTATACATTTGACATTTCGCGATAACATTTGATTGCGTGTCATTTTAGACTAAAAAGTTTGTGTTAAGAATTTTTGGATGATTGTGGAGCCATAAAAAACGGCCTTGTTTAAAAGGACAGTATATAGTGTTGTCATGGTAACACGTTCCAAACTCCATTTCAATATTGGAATAAAATACAGCTTTTAAAGTGGTCCCTCGTTAAAAAAAAAAAAAAGCAAAATTTGTGTTCTAACAGTAGGCTTCTCTCTCATCAGATAAAAAAATAGAAATGCTAGTATAACATGATAGATACTTTTATTTTAAGTCAGAGGAAAACTTTTGTGGCTTTTTGTGGCTTGTGTGCACCACGGTGATTAGTTCTCGGGTCTCTCTCTCGGGTCTCTCTCTCTCTCTCGGGTCTCTCTCTCTCTCGGGTCTCTCTCTCTCTCGGGTCTCTCTCTCTCTCGGGTCTCTCTCTCTCTCGGGTCTCTCTCTCTCTCGGGTCTCTCTCTCTCTCGGGTCTCTCTCTCGGGTCTCTCTCTCGGGTCTCTCTCTCGGGTCTCTCTATCTCGGGTCTCTCTCTCGGGTCTCTCTCTCTCGGGTCTCTCTCTCTCGGGTCTCTCTCTCTCTCTCGGGTCTCTCTCTCTCTCGGGTCTCTCTCTCTCTCTCGGGTCTCTCTCTCTCTCTCGGGTCTCTCTCTCTCTCGGGTCTCTCTCTCTCTCGGGTCTCTCTCTCTCGGGTCTCTCTCTCTCGGGTCTCTCTCTCTCGGGTCTCTCTCTCTCGGGTCTCTCTCTCTCGGGTCTCTCTCTCTCGGGTCTCTCTCTCTCGGGTCTCTCTCTCTCGGGTCTCTCTCTCTCGGGTCTCTCTCTCTCGGGTCTCTCTCTCTCTCGGGTCTCTCTCTCTCTCGGGTCTCTCTCTCTCTCGGGTCTCTCTCTCTCTCGGGTCTCTCTCTCTCTCGGGTCTCTCTCTCTCTCGGGTCTCTCTCTCTCTCGGGTCTTCTCTCTCTCGGTCTTCTCTCTCTCGGGTCTCTCTCTCTCTCTCGGGTCTCTCTCTCTCTCTCGGGTCTCTCTCTCTCTCTCGGGTCTCTCTCTCTCTCTCGGGTCTCTCTCTCTCTCGGGTCTCTCTCTCTCTCGGGTCTCTCTCTCTCGGGTCTCTCTCTCTCGGGTCTCTCTCTCTCGGGTCTCTCTCTCTCGGGTCTCTCTCTCTCGGGTCTCTCTCTCTCGGGTCTCTCTCTCTCTCGGGTCTCTCTCTCTCGGGTCTCTCTCTCTCGGGTCTCTCTCTCTCTCGGGTCTCTCTCTCTCTCGGGTCTCTCTCTCTCTCGGGTCTCTCTCTCTCTCGGGTCTCTCTCTCTCTCGGGTCTCTCTCTCTCTCGGGTCTCTCTCTCTCTCGGGTCTTCTCTCTCTCGGGTCTTCTCTCTCTCGGGTCTTCTCTCTCTCGGGTCTCTCTCTCTCGGGTCTCTCTCTCTCTCGGGTCTCTCTCTCTCTCGGGTCTCTCTCTCTCTCGGGTCTCTCTCTCTCTCGGGTCTCTCTCTCTCTCGGGTCTCTCTCTCTCTCGGGTCTCCGAACTAATCACCACGATGCAGAAAACTACCGCAGTCGTCCTATAGCCCTCAGTCCTGCTCCTCAGTGTCCTCCGCAGCGTACACGTATTTTAAAGTGTACACACGGCTTTTGACAGCTGCAGCAGTGCTCAGACCTACAACCAACAGCTTTAATACCTCTGGTCTCTCTCACTTCAGCAGTCGTGAGTTCAGGTGGTTAGGGAAGTCCACAAAGTGTGTGTGAGGGTTTTACAGCCTTAAAACATAGGACCTGTTACTTCAAAAGATTTCTCTCATTATTATTCTCTTAACAAAACTAGCGCAACTAGCGAGGGACCATTGTATTCATAAATTCATTTGAAAAGAATGCTTTTCACTGCACATCGGAGTCTCAAAGCGTCAGTTTTTGTCATTTAATTTAGTTCCATATTATTCAAATTAACATCAATTTTTGTTATTATAGTTTTATCGATAACTCTCAGACTCTTGACAACCCTCGTAAATCCAGCTCTCTTCCCCAAACTGAGGTATTCGGACCTGACCTTGACGGAGGTCTGTGCTACATGATATTGTCGTTGCAAAGTTAATTTTCTGCATTTCTCGTCTTTAAGCCTCAAAACGTCTGAGTAAAAACGTGCTATGCATTTGCACATTCCTGCATCACGTACAGTCAGCGTAAACCAAAGGCATGCGGCTACATCACAGGTTGTATTTGGTGAGATTGAGTTTGATTTTTTTCCTCTGAGCGATGGAGAATTTGAATGAAGCACCTTTTGCAAATTAGCTACAAGTTTCCCTGTTTGTGAAGGAGAGGCCAGCTCTAACATAACAGAGGAGTGGTGGACCTTTAACACTAGGACTCCCAGAGCGTTGCTATGGTAACTAGCACTTGCTCTTCTCTGGTGGAAAAACAAGTTCAGAGCCAGGACCTGGCTTTACTTTCATTAAATGTTGGTTGCCAAGCGAACTCCTGACATTTCAAAAGTAAAAGATAATTTCATAAAAATAATTGACATAAGATAAACTGCATAGAAACATAAAGTCACATGATTATGAAGACCTCAAATGTGCATGAGCAGAGTAATTACGCCTCCAAACTAAAAGCCGTCAAAGTGACTGCTCTGGGAGTTCTAGTGTTAAAGCTGCTACAGAAAGGTGTGTTGTGGCAAACAGCAGGTCATAGACTCAAAAACAGAACTAGCACTAACTGTAATGTAACAAATTAAAATATATATATCGTATTTATGGAGCTATTTGCGCTGCTTTTGTCAAGTGCTTTGAACCCTGAGCTGAGGGTGATGAGGCTGTGTGTGTTTGTGTTGTGTTACAGCGCCCTCTGGAGGCAGAGCTGTGTAAGCAGCTCATCAGCTTTATCTCACACACTTTGTATCAGAGTGTGGCTGATAAATGTGGACTGAAGTTACTTTCTTTTAACATTTATATTGTTCGGTTTATTCACAGGTGCGTTCAAAAGCCATACAATTATGGTGATTCTTTAAGACATGTTTGTAAAGAATGCTATTAAAATATAGTTATGGTCAACCTATATGACTGTCGACAGAAGTTGCATCTTTTTGCCTTAAAATACCTTGATTTGTATTGCTAAACAAAGGCTATTAAAGCTTGAAGTATTTTGACAATAGAACCGGACTGTTAACATAAAAAATTACAAAATAATCAAACGATATTTTCCCTTAAAGAACTGTGTACGCTGCAGCTCAGTGTTGTATTAATCGTCAGCATCAGGAAGGTTCAGTAAGGCGACTGAAACATGTTACGCTACTGCACTAAAGCCACTTCCACCAACTCGGCTCCACTCTCCCCCGACTGGCAGTGTATCCAGTAGAGTAGAGTAGAGTAGAGTAGAGTAGAGTAGAGTAGAGTAGAGTAGAGTAGAGTAGAGTAGAGTAGAGTAGAGTAGAGTAGAGTAGAGTAGAGTAGAGTAGAGTAGAGTAGAGTAGAGTAGAGTAGAGTAGAGTAGAGCTGGTGGAAGCAGCTTTTGTGCTGGTCTTAATCCTATCGTTTATTTCAAGCTGGTTTGATTGGTTGATCAACGTTGCTATGGAAATGAGTATGTTGTATATTTAATGGAGTGATGGCAGCAATGTATCATAACTCTTCACCAAACCATAAACAGGAAGTGCATATTGTGGCTGAGGGGAGGGGGGGGGGGGGTCATATTGCACATGGATTGGTCACTTCTTCAAAAACGGTCGTCTCTTCGATCCCACGAGCGAAAAGTTTGATCAGCTGACAGTGCACCCTGAGGAGGAAACGACAGGTTAGCATGAGTCTGTTTCACCACTGTAGCCCCGACCCCGACTCCCGACTCCCACTCCTCTCCCCTCCTATTCCCCTCCAGGTCTTCATGACTGATTTTTTTCTGTCTCTATATTTCTATGGCATTATATTTTATAAAGTATTCTTCTTTAAAAAGAGAGTAGTTCTACCTTTACTTCCTTGAGTAGAGCCCGAACTAGTTACAATCACAACATGTTTACTTGCTACCAGTTAGCATTTGGTAGCAAGTAAACATTTCACCAGTTTTAACACTTAGTTAAAGTGGATAAAGGTAAAAAGAAAAACTTATAAATTATATATTGGAGTAGTTTCTTAGAATTCCATTGGTTTGAAGGAAAACTTCAAAATGACAGCTCTGGGAGTTATTGTGGTTTCATAATTAAGTTCTAAACTGTTCTAAATGACAGTGATTGGCCAGAGTTCCACGACTGTACTGACCTGACGTCTATGGCTGCGTGCTTGAGCACCTCTCCGTCACAGTTCCAGCTGCTGTAGTGAGGGCCGCAGCTGCAGGCCGGGTGGTCTCTGCACAGGGGCCCGAAGATCTGCCTCTTGTGAGCGTCGCGGAGGTTCAGGTCCGAGTCGCTCTGACACTGACGCGGCAGGAACCGGAAACGGTTGACGCGGTGCACCTCCACGAAGCCCAGGTCGAACTGAGGGGAGCAGTAGGACTTTAGCATCTGGACTATCGCCGCGGCAACAAAACACCACCAGCCACAGCACTAAGAACGATTGAGTTTTGAAATAATGCAAATGAGTGTATTATTTACAGGGAATCTACCACGTTTTTCCTCTCACTACTTTGAGTACATTATTGTTAGTAATTGTTAATGAAGATATGTAAGAAAATTCTATGTACTGATATTTGATAATAATGTTTTATATTATAGATATATTATAGAGTAGCTTTTGATTAGTATTTATTTTTGCTTTTTAGTACATCTATTTATGTTTTTAGATACATTCTATATTTATTTATTTTTATTATTTACTATTTTTAATTATTTATTGTATCTACCCATTTACTATTGTTATTATCAATATTAGGCAGCTGCCATTTTTCTTTTTATTGTCACATTTTATTGTTCTACTTTCTATTGTATTATTGTATTGTTTTAGTGTCCCCAGTGTTTCCTCTGGAGGAGCCCTCTGCACTGAGAGCTGGGGTCTGCTGTGGCTTCGGGGGTCTGGCTCTTGGATCCAGTGGGGGTCTGGGGCCTCCTCTCTCCTCTGGGTCCTATGGGGTCTGAGTCCTGGGCCTGGTGGGGTCTGGGGCCACTCTCTCCTCTGGGTCCTGTGTCGTTGCCTGTGGCTGCAGCCGGCTCTCTGTTCCTGGTGCAGATGGCTCCTTGGATGGCGCTTCTTCAGCCGGTTACATCTGCTCCCAGCCCCATTTCTTTTTATTGTTTTACCTATTTTACCTGATATGACTTTATACTTGTCTGTGTCTCTGTGTGCGTGTGCGTGTGTGTGTGTGTGTGTATACGCATGTGGTTGTATATATAATTATAAATGTGGTTTTGGGGGGTCTGTGGGGAGGAGGGTTTAGGGCTGGGCATGTTGGATTGTTTTTAACTAAACTGTAAAGCACTTTGTGTTACACTTTTTGTATGAAAAGCGCTTTATAAATAAAATTTGATTGATTGAGATATTTTTTCCGATATAATAATAGAGGAGTAATGTTTTGAAGATTTTTGCCCAGCACTTTTTATACAGTGAATTACTATATGGACTTGGATGGACTAGTCTAGGTGCTGCACTTGGTGGGTGGTCCTGCTCGTTCACCTGGTCGTCCTTGCTGGTGTGGCGAATGAGGTGCCGGAGGAAGTTGAAGCGAGAGCACTTCCGGACCACGATGAGGTCCGTGGTGCCGTCGGCGAGGTGAGCGGCCGGAGAGAGGCCTTTGGGAGTGCGAGGACAAGCGCAGCTCATACTCGCAGCGTTTATGGCCAAAAACTTCCCCCGCACCGACTGCCACTCCTCCTCGCCCTCTGAAAGACAACGCGGGTCGGGAGGTCAGAATTAGAAAAGCGACTTGAAGACAAAAAGCGAAGATTGTCAGTCCTGCTGCAAAAGGATATGGAGCCCCCTGCTGGACAAGTGTGGTAACTTGAGCACTAGCTTCTCCTCACTCCTAAATCATTATGACTGGGTCTACAGCCTCGGTCCTGGGTCTACAGCCTCGGTCCTGGGTCTACAGCCTCAGGCCCTCAGGTCCATGGACCTATTGCCTGTTTTCTTGGCATCTGCGGCTGATTTAGTTCATGTTCTAGCCAAAAAAGTGTGGGCCCGTAAAAGGGGAAGGCGCGGAGGCCTGCTCGTGCGTCTGAGGAGGAGAGGAGCGCGCACGGCTCTCCCCGGCATTTTTCTCTCCAACGTACGCTCACTGGGCAATAAGATGGACGAACTCAGCCTGCTCATGAGAAGAAACAAGGACTTCGCCACATCCTGTGTCCTCTGCTTCACTGAGACCTGGCTAAATGAGCGGATCCCGGACTGCGCTCTGGAGCTGCAGGGCTTTGGGCTGTTCCGCGCGGATCGCCATTGTGCGCTCTCAGGGAAGAGCAGAGGCGGTGGGCTGTGTTTCTACGTCAATACAAACTGGTGTAACGATGTGACAGTGATCTCCAAGCACTGCTCTCCTGCTCTGGAATATCTTTTCATTCATTGTAAACCATATTACTCCCCGCGGGAAATTGTTTCATTCATTCTTGCCTCTGTTTACATACCGCCATGCACGGACGCGCGCGAGGCTCAGCGCGCACTTGCAGAGCAAGTACTGTGTATGGAACGCTTATACCCGGACTCTCTGATTATTATCCTGGGGGATTTTAATAAGGGAAACTTGAGCCAGGAATTACCCAAATACAGACAGTTTATCAAATGCCCGACCAGAGAGAACACTCTGGATCACTGTTACACCACCGTGCGCGGAGCTTTTCGCGCTGTTCCCAAGCCAGCCCTCGGCTTCTCAGATCACTCCATGATACATCTGGTTCCTGCTTACAGACAGAGACTAAAGCTCTCGAAACCTGCAGTGAGGAGCTCCAAAGTGTGGTCTGATGAAGCTGTGGAAGAGCTGCGCGCATGCATGGAATCTACAGACTGGGACCCCCCTTTCAGGGAGGGGGACCGCAGCGGCTACAAAGCAGCTAAATATCAGTTCAGGAAAGAACTGAAAGCAGCCAAGTCCCGGCACAGAGAACGACTACAGGAGCAGTTTGGTAACAACGATACTGCTTCTGTCTGGAGGGGCCTACGGGAGATCACCAACTACAAACCCAAAGCCCCCCCCTGTGCTGATGACCACAAGCTAGCTGACGAACTGAACTTATTTTTCAGTCGCTTTGATGCTGCCCCTGACACCTCTCCCTCCCCCACCCCCCACTACTCTAACGACCCACCCATCAGCCCTGCCCCCAGCCTAACAATAGCCGCTAAAGAGATTAAACAACTCTTCCTGAGGCTGCACCCCCGCAAAGCTCCTGGCCCGGACCGCGTGTCTCCGGCCACTCTGAGACACTGCGCCAGTGAGCTTACTCCTGTGTTCACGGACATTTTCAACACCTCTCTGCAGTCCTGCCATGTCCCGGCCTGCTTCAAATCCTCCATCATTGTCCCCGTCCCGAAGAAGCCCAGGATCACAGGACTCAACGACTACAGACCTGTAGCACTTACGTCTGTCGTCATGAAGTCATTTGAACGCCTGGTTCGCTCCCATCTCAAGTCCCTCACCTCCCCCCTCCTGGACCCCCTGCAGTTCGCCTACAGAGCCAACAGATCTGTAGACGACGCCATTAACCTGGCCCTCCACCACATCCTACAGCACCTGGACTCCCCGGGGACCTACGCCAGGGTCCTGTTCGTGGACTTCAGCTCTGCCTTCAACACAATCCTGCCATCCCTGCTCCAGGACAAGCTCTCCCAGCTCAACGTGCCCGATTCCACCTGCAGGTGGATCACTGACTTCCTGACGGACAGGAAGCAGCGAGTGCGTCTGGGGAAGAATGTCTCGGACTCTCAGATTATAAATACAGGAGCCCCACAGGGCTGTGTTCTTTCTCCCCTGCTCTTCTCCCTGTACACCAACCACTGCACCTCCAGCCACGACTCCGTGAAGCTGATCAAGTTCGCGGACGACACCACCCTCATTGGACTCATCTCCAACAACGATGAGTCCGCCTACAGGAGGGAGGTGGACCGGCTGATGTCCTGGTGCAGTGGTAACAACCTGGAGCTGAACGCCCAGAAGACAGTGGAGATGATTGTGGACTTCAGGAAGAGCACTGTCCCCCCGCCCCCACCCTCCGTGATGGACTCCCCCATTACCTCTGTGGAGTCCTTCCGTTTCCTGGGCACCACCATCACCCAGGACCTCAAGTGGGAGCCGACCATCAGCTCCCTCATCAAGAAGGCCCAGCAGAGGATGTACTTCCTGCGGCAGCTCAGGAAAGCCAAGCTGCCTGCACAGATGTTGGTGCAGTTCTACACGGCCATCATCGAGTCCATCCTCACCTCCTCCATCACCGTGTGGTTCGCTGGAGCCACAGTCAGGGACAAACAGAGACTACAGCGCATTGTGCGCTCTGCAGAGGAAGTGATCGGCCGCAGCCTTCCATCGCTGCAGGACCTGTACGTCGCCCGAGCTCGAGGCCGGGCTGGTCGTATCACAGCCGACCCCTCTCACCCTGCACATGGACTATTCCAACCACTCCCCTCAGGCAGGAGGCTGCGGTCCATCAGGACTAGAACCTCCCGCCACAAGAACAGTTTCTTCCCCTCTGCTGTTGGACTCTTGAACACTTCTTAACCTGTCCCCCCGCCCTTTTAAAGTCACTTTACTGCCCATCATACGTCACTTTACTCCACTGTACTGCTGTCACCTTACATTGTGTGCACCATGTGCACTTGTATATTGTAAATAGTAACTGTAACTCTATTTTAAATTTACATTTATTCTTTAGAAGTGTTTTTTATTCTTATTTTTATTATCTCTTTTTGACTGTTGCACTGAGCCAAAGCAATTTCCAAGTCTGTGACCTCCTGTTACTTACGTTGGCAATAAAAATGATTCTGATTCTGATTCTGATTCTGGATCTACAGCCTCAGGCCCTGGATCTACAGCCTCAGGCCCTGGATCTACAGCCTCACGCCCTGGATCTACAGCCTCAGGCCCTGGATCTACAGCCTCAGGCCCTGGATCTACAGCCTCAGGCCCTGGATCTACAGCCTCACGCCCTGGATCTACAGCCTCACGCCCTGGATCTACAGCCTCAGTCCTGGGTCTACAGCCTCAGTCCTGGGTCTACAGCCTCAGTCCTGGGTCTACAGCCTCAGTCCTGGGTCTACAGCCTCAGTCCTGGGTCTACAGCCTCAGTCCTGGGTCTACAGCCTCAATGTGAAAACTAGTGATAGAAGCAAATTGTTTTGAGAGCGAGGAACAAGTGACATGGATTTTAAAACAATCACATGGTTGTAGTTGGAAAGTACCAGGTAACCCAGCTTTAAATGAACAATTATTTTATGTTTACAATAATTTATTTACTGTAATATTATGAGTATATGTTTTGTCTTACCCGCATCAAAAGACTCAGCCGACTTGTACTTTTCGCCTTTCTCTGTGAAGACCTTCCCGTTGTGCTCGCAGACCACACAGCTGAAACAAAGAGACAAACAAGGTCTGTAAACATGTCATTTACTTTCTGGACTATAAGATGCTACTTTTTTCAAGTTCTTTGGACCCTGATATCGTGATAGAACAGTAGCATCTCGACCATGACTTCCTGAACCTTGAGAAAACCAGTGAAATAAACAGTGTAGTGTGTGTGGCCAGCTTTACCCTGATGAAGATTCTTACCCAGTGCGACATCTGGTTTTGTCCCGCGGAGTTCCCATGATGCCTTTGGCCGGTAGGTAGGCCACAGCTCCTTCATAATAGTGATGAGTGAGAAACATCTTCAGACCTGAACAGAGAAGAACCCACTTACATATCACCGTATCAGAACACATTAGTGAGACCAGCAGTCTACTTCAGAGTGGACTCCTAGTCGGATAGTATTCCAACGCGGCGGTCACCTGAGAAGTCGTATCGGGCCGGCCCCATCCACCGCTTTCTCTCGCTGTCGCTCAATACGTCGCCAAAGAAACCGTATCCGAGCAAAGAGACTGAGTATCTGAGCAGCGTATTGTTGTGGTGGACGGAGCATACGTCCATGGGCTGCGAGTCGCCTGGAACAAAACAAATGTACCGATAAATTACAGCACGCAAGAAGGAAAACAACGGGATTTTGAGCAACTATTGTTTTTACTGGACTGTTTAGCGCACCTGTGTATTCACCGCACAGTTTAAAGGAAAGTATATTTTTGTCCACATATAAATATCTATATAGGCGGCACATAATATGAGCAGGTTCTAAAAGTAATCTGCAATAAGTCAAAATCATTGAAATGGCAGCTGTATATAGTAGCAATTAAAAGAAACTTTATGTAATTTTATGCATGCCTTATTCTATTCTCTACTTTTTTACTTTTTTCACCAAAAGCCACGACAGTTTTATTCAAATTTTCTTCTGACATGTTATACTAACGGGTAAATGATGTTGTATATCAGGGGACTCAAACACAAATTTTCTGGGGGTCGCACAATGTCGAGTTTGGATGAAGCTACGTCACACGATGGGTTTGTGTACAACATGCCACATTAGCCCAGACTCTCACCACTGCAGAGGACAGGTTGCAGAAAGGGACGGGAGTGGCTGCAGGTTTTCATTCCAACCAAGCAGAGGCACACCACACTCTACCCATTTCCTCAAGTCTTCGGGTTAAGACTGGAATTACTTGAGGAAATGGGTGGAGTACAGCCATATCAGCACTTTGAGGACCGGTTTGACACCTCTGGTATAGAAGGTTGGAGTATGCACCTTCCCACCCACCTCCTCACTCACTCAGAACAAAGTGCTTGAGCCTTTGCTGCAGCTGCCCCGACTCTCTGGAACTCACTCCTACAGCCCATCAGGAACTCTGACTCACTACAGGACTTCAACTCACTTGTAAAACCCACTTGTTCAAAACTGCCTACACTTAACCGTTTATTTTTAGCTTTTTATTAAAGGACAACTCACCCTCAAATCCACTTTTTTTTGCTGATAAACGGTATAAATGAGTGTCCAATAGTGTTGTCTACATATCCTGGTCATAATCTTGTCACTTTGGTGCAAATTAGTTGAAAGTTAGACTTTCTGCCTAAAACCGTCTGTGAGGCGCCATCTGCTGGCGACCTGTATTACTACATTTGAATTTTGAATCTGGCGCCAACACTGGCACAGAAGTTGGACCTGACGTCAGCAGCCCCCCGCCCAGAGCAAAGTAAACGGCCCAGTCTCGTTCACGCCCCCTTTAGTCCTCCAGGCTACGCCCATTTAGAGGAAAATTTGAACAGGAAATGTGAGTAACGTAAGCTCCGAGGAGCGGGGGTGAGAACCACTTTAAGTGTCCAAAAAAGCGCTATAAAAGAACAATGTATTATTATTATTACTACTACACGCAGTGCATGAGAAGCACTCTGTAAAAAATGTTTCAAAACACACACACACACACACACACACAAATAATCCACGAAAGAGCAAACCCGTGCTATAGCGAGGAACCAGTGTACTATCGGAGAGAGGAGAAGTGTACGAACCAACAATGATGTGAAGCGCAGATGTCACCGGGTCATTTGCACCGACGGTCGCAAAACAGATACAGTCTGTGGATCCTGGAAGAAGCAAATCAAAAGTTAAGTATTAAGTCATAATCGCTGTGTGAAAGAGAGGTTCTGCAGGTCTTTCCTTTGTGCCACTGTCAGACTGTACAATGAGAACTGCTGAACATGTCATTCATTTGTCAATACTGTAGTCATGTGCAATGTGCAATACTGAAACTTCAGAATATTGTAGCTTTTCGTTACAGCAACATTTATTTTTGTATCTTTCTTGAGGTAAAAATCAACATTTCTGTGAAGTTGACTGCGGCTCTAATGTTGGGATTTGATAAAAGTCAGATAAATGTGAAATGGTGAAAGCTGTGACCTGCTGGTATGATGCCGATGCGCAGAGGACAGGCCTGCAGCGCCTCCTCTGGGCTGTTGGGGTTCACTGCACTGTCCATCTGCGTCCTCCAGATCAAACCGTGGATGATCTCACTGAACATGCCGTCTCCCCCCACACACACCACCCTGAAGGGGCACAGGCCGGGGCAGCGGTTAGGACTGTTTAGTTTTGTACGTAGGGGGAAGAGAGACTTTGAAACTCACCCGTCAAACTGTTTTAGTTCTGCATCGGTCCTTAGATGGTCTCTCGCATGATTGGCATATTCTGTCACTGCAGCGAGAGACACGATAAGTGATGGAGTTCAAACATTTAATGACATTAAATGTCAGTTTACCAATAACGTGAGTGGTGATCCCGGCCCGAGCGAACAGTGGCGCCACCTTCTGTTCATAGATGCGTTTTCCCCGTTTCTTGCCTCCAACAGGGTTAATGTAGACGAGCAGGTGTTTGGGTCTGCAGCCTGTGACAGGATCAGCTCATTCAGACTAACACTTATTTACACAGCTGTGAGAACAACACTACAGACAATAACACAGCTGACAGAGTATTGTACGAACAGACGGCGAGAGAGCAGTCATGTTGATCTCATTATGTATATTTGAATCTCATACCGAGGGCAGCCAGCTGCTCCCTGATGCACTGAACCCAGCGCTGACACAAGACAGCGTCAGGACAGACAAACGTGACCTCTGCGCACCGCCAGCGGTGGTTTCGCCCTCGCTCCACATACGAGACTAGAACATACAAATACCATGTGTTATAAACATAGGACTAATGTGCAAAGTACCAGTCTGTGATGTGTTTATGACCATGTAGTCAGAGTGTTGCTTGGAGCCAATTTACATTCTTTCCTTTAGACCATTTTCATTAAAACATATGATTGAGCTCTATTTGTCCCACCGTGGGGACATTCCGGTGTTGTAGTGCACATACAGGTCAGTAGTAACTGCAACCAAGAAGCACACAAAATATACATAGATGAAGAAGCCTAACATTGTATTTACCGGTGAAGGCCTGCCTGCAGTCCCTCCCATGCCCCTCTCTGATCTTCCTCCAGCTGCCTTCATCTCTGCTGCTGTTCTCCTCCTCTTCCTCACGGACACAGATGATTTCAGACACCGTCACGCTACGACACATACCTGTTACACACAAACAGATATTTAGCAACACTACACATCACAATCTACACATGTTGTTGCTACAAAACACTATTATACTCTAATCAGGTTGGATCTTCTCCTGCAGACCCAGTATATTACTCGTTTGTCACTGCAGGTCTTTGCATGGAGTGAGTATTAGGAGAGGACTGACAGAGTGCTGAGGTCACCAGTCTTGGCCTGAATGCAGAAGAAGCCGATTTGACCATAAGCTAGTTGGCGCCAATGTCCTTATATGGGCATTTCTTCTGCTGTGTTAGCTTAAGACGATTGTTAAGGCCAGCTGAAGTTTAAATGCAAATTAAGTCATCCGATTCTGCTGGGTCAATCCTTATATGGCTCACATCTGGATTTACAAAGACCACATGTAAATTATGAACACCAGGTGCTAATTTTTCAGAATTTTTCAAGATCAAAAGGGCGAGTGTGACACAGACGCTTACTGAGCAAGAGGAGTTTGGCTTCTATTGACTTACATAGCAAAGTAGAGTGTGTTGGAGCAAAACTTTGTCCCTGAGCACCTCCCTAGTGAGCTATATTGAGCTAGCGGGTTAGCCTTGTCCATCTATATACAGTCCATGGTCCTTAGCCATAATAATTAAACACCAAAGTGATCAGTGGGTCAAACAGGCAGTAAACAGGCAGTGAACAGAGCAGACAAAAGGCGGCGTAGAGCATGTGTAGAGTCTGTAAGTGAATACGGGTCCATAGAGACACTTAAGTCTGGGATCGTGTTCGGTGCGTCTGAAGTGGAGCGCCTCTGAAATATGAGACACAGTGTGATATCCCTGACCTACAACCAAGGGCCTCACAGTACAAGGCTTAAGGACGCTCTGCTGGCCTTCGCTGGTCATTAGTAAGATTACTATAAAGATCATAAGATAAATATGTCTAGGTGTTGTAATTGTAAACCACAATAATGATTTACAAAAGGAACAAAACAGAAGCAGATCCCCATTAAAGCTGGAGTACCTGACTTTTGTTATTGCTTCATAAACATTTTGCAAAAAGTGAAATGGTGGGAACAAAAATCAAGCCAAAACATGACTTTTACAGACTTTTTATTTTTTATTTTTTAAACAGACTTTTACATACCGAGAGCTGATTGGCTGAGTGAGGGCAGGCAAGAGAACCATAGACTGTCGATGGAACCAAATAGTTTAAAGAGCGTAACTGGTCGAATAGTTTATAGTTAGTTAAATATACACAGACAATAATAATTAATGGTGGTTTTGCATGTTTCCTTTTTTCATAGTTTAAAAGTTAGGTACTCCAGCTTTAACTAGCTACTAATAGAATAATGGTCTGTATGTGTACATTTATGCATGGGTGAAATATGTGTACATCTGTGTGCGTGTATATACATCTATGCATGTGTGTGTACTTGTATGCTGTACGTGTGTGTGTGTACTTGTATGCTGTGCGTGTGTGTGTACATGTATGCTGTGCGTGTGTGTGTACATGTATGCTGTGCGTGTGTGTGTACATGTATGCTGTGTGTATGTGTGTGTATATATATGTATGCTATATGTGTGCATGTGTGTACATGTCTGCTGTATGTGTGCGTGTATATAAGTATGCTGTATACAATCTGTGTGTGTTCGTAATTGAAGAAAATGTCAGTTGTTGTTTATTAAATTAGGGCCGTTTAATTATGTCGATGAACATAAGATGAAGAGAAACATGAAAACTCGGCACTAAAAAGATCAAAGCCACAACACAACAGCGTTTGAAGCTTTTCTGTGATAACACAAACTATGCAATCCAACTAATCTATTCAAATCTTCACATCTTGGAATTAAATTAACCATTGAGAACATCTAATGAAGTTAGTGTTGACTTCTACTTGCTGCACAATAAGCTGCTACTTTATCATGTCCTTTAAACCCTGCAGCTTCAATAAAGACATGGCCATTGTGTGTAATATAGTTTTGTTTTGTTAGAACGCATGTTTTGGCCACAGGTGTTAACTCATTGACTGCCAGCCTGTTTCAGAACAGGTATTCCCATATTGCCAGCAGATTCTGATGATTTTTATTGATTTTTCAAGACCCACAGAATATTGTGTACTATGACTATCTGAAATCCTATTCTGAAAGAATGGACTGTCTACTTTCATCAGCCCTGTAATCCCCGGTCGAGTAGAGGAAGTTTTCCTGACATCAACAGTCTCAGACCATGGATGTATTATATGAACTGGATAGGGTATTACTAGCTTGTAGCTGAATAACTCACGTGCTCAGGGGATTCTCGCGGTACTGCAGACTGAACCAGACTAAATTCACGTGGGCTACCCAGAAATTTTCCCCATAGAACTCAATGCATATTAAAACAGCTCAACCTCAGCTGACAGAGAACCTACAGCTTTAATAAAGATCGGATTTTGTGGGGCTTTTAGTGTCCCTTGTCATCCTGAACTTTTTTTCTTCTTAAATCCTTCGGTTTTGTTTAAATCCACACTTTACTGCCACAAACTCTGCTCCTCTGGCTCTCGCTCTAACTCCCGCTCTAATGAACTGCTCTGATTGGTCAGAGCGCGGCCGAGCCCCTCTGTGCACGTGCGTGAGACCCGGTGTGAGACCCACACACGCGTGTTTGGCACAAAGCATCATGGGAGATCATCCACTGCGCAGAACCGGGAGGACCAGACGATGCCCAAATACAGGCGAGTTTCCCATAGATCTTTGCGAGTTTCAGGCAACTTCCGCTAATCTTTCAGCCCCCATGCTGTCACAAAGCGCCACTGAGCACAACCATTCATTTGAATAGGGCGCCATCTTGAATCGCCGGGGCTTGTCTCAATAATAATAATAATAATACATCAAACTTATATAGCGCTTTCTTGGACACTCAAAGACGCTTCACATGGGGAGTAAAATACAATAATAAAAAGGGGTTTACGGAAAAGCTTGTTTGAAAAGATGGGTTTTGAGTACTGATTTAAAGTTTGATAGTGAGTCGGAGTTTCTAATGAGCAGTGGGAGTGAGTTCCAGAGGGTTGGGGCGGCAATGGCAAAAGCTCGGTCCCCCAAGGTTCGGCGGTTAGTGCGGGTGATGGGGGTGAGGAGGTTGGAATTGGCTGAGCGAAGGCGGCGGGTGGGTTGGTGCTGCTGTAGGGGCTCAGTAAGGTAGGGCGGGGCCAGGTTATGGAGGGACTTGTAGGTGAGGAGAAGGAGCTTGTAATGGATGCGGTATTGAACGGGGAGCCAGTGGAGCTGCTGGAGGACAGGGGTGATGTGTTCTCTGGACCGGGTGTGGGTGAGGAGGCGGGCTGCAGAGTTCTGGATGTATTGCAGTTTTTGGAGATGAGTGGTGGGAAGTCCGTAGAGGAGGCTGTTGCAGTAGTCGAGTCTGGAGGTGATGAATGCGTGGATGAGGATTTCGGCTGTTGACTGGGTAAGGGAGGGGCGGAGGCGGGCAATGTTGCGGAGGTGGAAGAAGGAGGTTTTGGTGATGTGTTTGATGTGGGTTTGGTATGAAAGGGTGGAGTCCAATATGATGCCAAGGTTGCGTACAGAGGATGAGGGGGTGACAGTGTGACCGTCAATGAGGAGGGTGAAGTTCTGGACAGAGGGCAGGAGAGTTTTGGGGCTGATGATGAGGAGTTCTGTTTTGTTACTGTTGAGTTTGAGAAGGTTATTGTCCATCCAGGTTTTAATGTCGGAGATGCAATTTTCGATGGTGGAGCGAATAACCGGGGTGATGGATTTGGTGGAGATGTAGAGTTGCGTGTCATCGGCATAACAGTGGAAATGAAGTCCATGATGGCGGATGATCTGACCGAGGGGAAGCATGTAGATGGTGAAGAGGAGAGGGCCGAGCACGGAACCTTGGGGGACACCGTGGGTGACGGGGGAAGTGTGGGACTTGCAGTTGTTGACAGACACGAAGTGGAGACGATTGGAGAGGTAAGAGGTGAACCAGAGGAGTGCTGTGCCAGAAATTCCAATGGATTGTAGACGGTGGAGGAGGATGGAATGATCTATTGTGTCAAATGCAGCGGAGAGATCGAGGAGAAGGAGGATGGATAAGGAACCAGAGTCGGCAGCGAGGAGGAGGTCGTTAGTAACTTTGAGAAGTGCTGTTTCTGTGCTGTGGTGTGTACGGAATCCAGATTGAAATGTTTCGAAGAGATGGGAGGAGTGGAGATGTTGGTGGATTTGGTTGATGACGGCGCGTTCCAGGATTTTTGACAGTAACGGGAGGTTGGAGATGGGTCGAAAGTTGTCCAAGTTGTCAGGGTTGAGGCCGGGTTTTTTCAGGAGGGGTGTGATGGAGGCTAGTTTGAGCGGGGAAGGGACAGAACCAGAGGTTAGGGAAGTGTTGATGATGCAGGTGATGAGAGGGATGAGAGTTAGTTGACAGGTTTTGAGGAGGGAAGATGGGATTGGATCAAGCTGGCAGTTGGAAAATTTCATGGTTGAGAGAAGTTTGGTGGTGTCAGAGGGAGAGAGGGGGGAGAAGGAAGGAAGGCTATGGACTGTGGGTGCAGTGGGTTCAAGTTCGGGAGTAGGGAGAAGAGGAGGAAGTGGAGGCAAGTGAACAGTGTATGGTATGGATTTTGGTATGGTAGAATGACAGGTAGTTATTGCATTTGTCTGTAGTGAATGTGGAGGTTATATTGTCCTTGGGTTTTGTCAGATTTGCAAAAGTTGAGAATAGGGTGCGGGGGTTGGAAGAATTTGAGTGGATGAGTTGTGAATAGTAGTTGGACCGGGCAGTTTTGAGAGCAGAGTTGTATGTGGTTGTGGCTTGTTTGTAGGCTTGTGCATGAACGAGGAGACCAGTTTTTATATGGAGCCTTTCAAGTTGTCTCTTTTGTTTTTTGAGACTGTGGAGATCTGGGGTATACCAAGGGGCGGAGGTAGAGAAGGAGACTGAGGCAGTTTTCATGGGGGCAATTTGGTTGAGGCAGGAGGAGAGTGTGTGGTTTTAGAAAGTGACTAGATCGGAGGCAGATGGATCTGAAGGGAGGGAAGAGC